AAAATCTCAGGAACATGAAAAGATATTCATGAGATAGATAAATGGCTCGTATAAGATGATCTGGGTTCTATTTAAAGTAATACATAAGAATAAAATGTGTGAGGCTGTGAAGCAGTATTTTGTTATCAATGTGTGATCTATGGGTGATTATTATTTTTTCATTATACCATTTGTTTTATTTTTATGATGAGTGAAAATTATTTTAGTAACAGGAAAATACATGGCTCAGATGTGACACTCATAGCTGCTTTTGTTTTACATTAGATTAGATAAACATGTTGTAGGCCAGTACCATTCACACTCAAAAGAGAATGCACCAAAGGATACACTGATGTCAGCGGCATATGACCTCTCTAGGGAGCCTTGCACCCCCTGAAGCAGCAATTCCCTGAGCTCTAGGTGGGAAAGGGGCAGCCTACTTCTAATTCCTGGCATGTGGTGCAGTGTGAGCCATCATACAGTTTTAGGATAAGTCTAAATCTCAGGCCAGCCACTTTGTTATCATATGACTTATGCAAATTGCTTTTTATTTTTCTCTACTAATTATTTGCTTTTATAAACCAACACCAGAAGAGTCATGCTCCCACACGGTGACATTTGTGGATCAGTGATGGACCCCGTGTGTGACAGGGGTCTTGTATCATCTGGTGGTACTGTAACCATCTTAGTTTGTGCAAGTGCACACTGATGGATGATGTATTTCTCAGAAGCTGTCCTCCTTGTTATGTAACAGATGACTGGATATGAAACCCTAGGAGATAACTCAGTGGAATAAGGGCCTGTCTGGCAAACATTAGAAAGTCTTGAGTTCAATCCTTCATACCAGAAAAAGATAATTAGACTGGATATGTAAAATAGTGGTTATGGAATTCAATAATGCCAGACTGATTACTGATAATCAGTAATGATTTGCTAATCTGCACCCAGTTGAAAAGCCTGATTTGTTTTAGCAAGATAATATCCTTCTAGAAAGGTCTCATGACATTTCCAGTATTACAAGTACCCAACATTTTCATACCGCTAAGTGGATAATTCCTAGTGATAGACTAATCAAATTATGATGATTTCCCACAAAGGGCAGTACTAATCAAATTTATTTTATAATTAGATTTTTCTTTCTGACCCCTCCAATGGTGATGTTTATTGAATACCAACAAACTGGACAGTCTTTAGCTACAGCAAAAATAACCTTTCCCAGGCCCTGCTAGTGGAAACCTGAGGGACTCGTGTACTTCTGTTGTGATACAACTGAGAATTGTTCTCTAAGAAGGTCATAGCTTTGTGGAAGGAACATTGGTCTTTCTGGCTGCTGTAGGCAGTAGGAACTGATTGTGAGAGACTGCTCAAGTCTTGCTGGGCCCAGCATGCCAGGGGGGTCATGGTTAACTGAAATGTACAGGAGGGTTCTAGAACTGTTGCCTTGGTGGATCATTAGCACAAAAATATAGAAGACCTGGCAAGGAGAAGATTGGTTATCTGAGGCTACAAAATACTATGGGGAAGGGGCTAGGGAGATAGCTCAGTTGAATAAGCACTTGCCTGGCAAGCACAAGGGCCTGAGTTCAA